AGGGAAAGTATCGTTCATTGTCGAAATATCTCGATGAAAAGGACAGAGCACCACCACATTTCAGTAAACTCTCACTAGAACTCGCAACGCGACTCAACACTAACCTCGCTATCATGTTTGGGCGGTTACACATTCAATATGGCGCCGGAACTGTAAAAAGGGCTATTGGCAGAAAATTAACTCAAATTCTAAAAGATAGAATGGCGCAAAATTACCTTGTATCCTGAAAAACAGATTGGTGGAAAATCACCTCAAAGCCTAAAAGATGCAATGGTGGAAAATCATCTCAAAGCCAAATGAATCCTGACATTTTATTAAATGTGATGCCCACTACCTTTTCTTCCTAATATCTGCACAATTCTTAGTCAATAAACCCCTTCAGGTAGCTGGTATGTTGGCTGATAATGTCTGTGGCTGAGAGATTGTCCAAAAAAATTAATATTTGGCCAAGAAGCGAAGCTTCAAGGGCAAATATGTGGAGGCATGGTGGCCTCATGGTTGGTGTGCTTGACTCCAGATGTGTTGTGTTCTCAGGCAAGACACTTTACTCTCACAGTGCCTCTCTTCACCCAGGTGTATAAATGGGTACCAGCAAATTCAATGCTGGGGGGTACCCCTGCAATGGACTGGCATCCCATCCAGGGGGGAGTAGAAATACTCCTAGTCCCTTCAAGCTACAGAAACCGGAGTTAAGCACCGGCCTAATGGTCCACCAGGTTTGTAAACAGACTTTATCATTAATTTTCACATCGCCAAAAAGCCAGTGGTGATCTGATGGTGAATGCACGTAATTGATGCAAGCAAGCAAGTACATTTGATTGGTTTAAATAACTTTATTTTCACTGTGATTGGACCAAAACATGACCAGCTATCATTTGAAATTAACTCTTATAACGCTCCTTAGATCAAATACTCGAAAACTTGGCACTTTTGGTTCACATTTTCCAACATACTGTTCAAAATCTTTTTTGTACTTCCCGGAACTGCTTTTGCGACCAGCTCCTTAATGTCACTATCACTAGACTCAAGAAAACGAATTTGGCTTCCTTCCATGTAAATAGGAGAACAGCAGAAAAGTTGAAACTCTTGTGTTGACTATGTTTCTTTTTCGCGGAAAAAATCGGAGGACAAATATCGACATGGACAGGGGTTATTGCATGATAACTGTCCTGTGATTTTGCACCACGTGACGTGAAGTAACCAATGAAATCGTGCTAAAATTAATGGGTGGGCTATAATATAAGATAACTAAAGATGAAATTTTTTCATTTAATGTGGGATTTACACTTAGCCAATCAGCTAGTTTACATGTAATCCACGACCCTAGTATATTCTAAAAACAATCAGTTAAAAATGTACAAGAATTGATTCTATTAAGCCATAAACATAAAGAACTAAAAGTCTAGAGAATCAAATAACAATAAATACCGGTATCAGTCACACTTAAGTACTTAATTTTTCTTTTCTATTAATCAAAAGGCCACATAATGGCATATCTATCCTGAAAAGTTACACCTAAATAGTCTAGCTTCTTTATTAGCAATCCATATTAATCTTTGCCATGTTCTTCTTTGGTTTTCTTAACTCCTTGGTTTTATAATATTTTGCCACAGGAAAGCAGTCAGGTAATTAAGGTTGGAACACAAATCAAAATGGTGGCATATTTGTGCCACAACTGCAGACAATATTTTAAAAGAATTAGCCACTCTTTGGGATCTCGAAATATGACCTGTATCATACATATAGTTTACTACATACTCAAAGACACTTGGAGATACATAATAAGATTGATTATGATCATAAAGCATAATACTCCTTTAATTAAGGATCAAGAAATGTCTACAAGACTGCTCAACATTTGTAAACGTCTATATTTGTTGCAATCCAGGCCAAAAGAAGAGCTTTTTTGTCAAGGTTGTTGATGGTTCTGACACTTGTTTTTCATGAACTTCACCCATTGCACTGACTCTTCTGTTTACCTCTGTGAGCATGCCAAGAATTTCCTCATAGCCAGCCATCTCTTTAAATACCTCCACAACACAGCGTACAAAGCGGCTTCCCTTCTCCATATTTCGGAATGCTGCGTAACCACTGATAGTTGCATTGGCTATTAGAATATCGGCATGGTCAGCAATGGTTTTCTTGACTTGAAAATTAAAACCTTTGTCAGTAGCCTCACCATTGGCATTGCCTGACAAATCATCATTTGTTGAAGGTTGTGGTGATTGGGGAGCTGTTGCATTTGGGGCATCAGATGCTACACCTTTTTCCCTTCTTTTGCCTCTACAAGCCTGTATGAAAATGAGCTTAGGCTTGCCACTCAACGATGGGCAGTTAGCATTGCTGAAAAAGTCCCGCACGGTCTCAATTGGGACAGTGTCTCCATCAGCTCCATAGAATAATCCATTCTGGCCATGGCTCATCAGCCATAAAACAAAGCAATCATACTGTGAGTGATCTTCATGAGACACATCATCCAAGATCTTTAAAATCTTTTCTCTTCCCACATTTCTCTCAGTTTTCACTTTGAAATCCAGAGCTTCATACAATGTCTCAAGTGATTGGACATCGGCGTCAGAGCCTAGGCGAACCTCTAATTCTTCATTTTGTTTCTCTTTCTCCGTCATATCAGCACTATGACGGAAAACCTCATTGTTTATGATCAATGCGATCCCTCTGGGTATTGACATCATGGGGTACACATGCTTTGAATCTGGCCTTATGTGAGATGGTATTTTATTCCAATCTATTGGTTTCACAAAGCCTTCATCTTGAGGTGGTAATGCATCAGAAGGTTGACAAAAAGCGGCTCCCCTATCAGTGTTGCCAATCTTTGGACGCAGAGCTGGAACAAAAGAAATTAAGTGATACACTAAACAGGGCTTTTTAGAATGCTTTTGCAACAACTACAATGTAAAATATACATTGCAAAATTATAATTATCAGTGACACTTGGGATGAAAATACATGTATCATATAATGCCATGGTGTGATTTCACAATATCAGTGCCAACTAGCATATCAGCACCTAGACATTTAAGCATCCTTTAAATTAAGAATGTCAATGAATCCAGTGAGTTAACTGAACAACTATAAATGAATCACATAATTTAAAGAATAAAAGCTCTTTTTTGGAGAATAATATGACCAAATGGTTTTTGTACATTGTTTCCACCATGTCATAATTATTCTAGCAGATAGCATAAGGGTCCTCTTTAAAACAAATTGGACACATCAAGAATCTAGAGTCAGTGTCCCAATTATTTTCATTGCCATAATTTTCCCAACATTTCACTATAATTTTCTAAAAGCATAACTACTTTCAGGCTCAAAAGAATCAAGGATTATTCTAAAAAGAAGGACACAAGTATGCACACATTATAAAGATTTATCATGCCACAATAATACCATTTTACCTCAATCGACCAACAGAACAAGACATATATGCAACACTGTTACACTATGCAACAAGTAAAACTTTGAATGGAAAGCAGAGCAACAAAATGATCCCTATGAACAATTTTATTTTTTGGCAATAAAGAACAATTAAAGGGTTTGGTTTGTGTTGTTTTTGTCTTTCGTCCATATCATGCCCTGAGCAATCAATATGATGCTTAGATATATAGGGTCATAGGATTATTTATTTATTTATAAATTACTTATTTAGGTAGAAGCCAGAACACTAGAAAAATAATCAACAGTGGAATAATGAATCCCTTATTTGATGGTTTAGCAGAAAGTTAGAGTGGAAACTACTCATCACTTACATTATTTTTTCCTAGCACCTACTGGGCTCCCAGAATTACCAATCAAGTCATAAAATATCTGTGCATATTATATCCTAACTCATAAGGCCTAAACACATGTATATAAATTATACCTTTGTTAATGCAGTTGGGGAGTTCATGGTGAGTGCTCAGTGAAGTTGTGTAAAGCTGTCTTGTGATATCATTTATTCTGCGATCTGTAACATAGAGAATTACAAGCTTGAGTTATAAAAACTTTAAAAACTTGATGCACTGAAAAATTAGGTCTTAACACCTGTCATTTAACAGAGCCCCTTAGTGGTGGTTAATGCTAAAACTAGTAACCAGCATTAGGAGTCGCATTCAATTCAAATGTATAATTTTTAAAGACAATATTAGCATTAAAGGGCCTGTCTCCCCACTGTTTTCATCTATGGGTTGTATAAATTGTAGAAGGAAAAATGGTTTCTGTTGTAGTATACATATTTTTGTTTTATTACACAGTAACTTTTCTAGATTGGAATACAATTCTAAGGGAAATCTTTGACCACTAGGAATGTAAACACCCTTAGTGAGATTTTACATTGTCTGCAAACCGCGTAACATTGCAACTAACTGCTGGTCAAGGCCCTTGTTGTGCAGTAACAGGCGTAACATTACGTAAACTCATTGGTCTTTCGTCTTCATTTCCTTTCCCTTGAGGGGTGACATTTTCATTCCCTGCCACCCTACAAAGGCAAACCCTTTTGAACTCAACTTAACAAAAGTCGAACATTAGCCCTGATAAACATTGTGTCGATGTCTTCACCTTCTGCAAAGTGAATATAAGTTGAAAAAACATTGGATTGGACACAAACCTCCTTCTGCCTGCTCTTCTCCGTGAACAGGCTCTTGAAGCAGACGGTGAAGATGTGGTTGAGTATTTTGTAAAGCGTTCACAAACTTAACCAAATTTTGATATCCCGAACGGACTATTTTATCCAACAGTATCTCGGCTTGTTTCTTCCTCGTTATCCCTGCTTTCACTTCATCCTTGTCGTCAAGGTCGAAAACCTCTGCTTGATAAAGAAGGCTTAAAATCTTTCCTGGCTCTAAATCTCTTAAAACCTTGTCATGATTGATTCGTAATCTGTAAGCATAGTTAGGGATTTCCATCGTTCTTGCGCCTCTTAATGAAGTCGAAGACCATTAAAGCACCGTTTTCAAATGAAAGAGTATCCCGAATTTCTAAAGACACCCCATCAACCAAAAGCAACCAACGCATTTGCTCCAACGGGGTGTCCCCCTCAAAGTGCCTTCGAGGTGTCGTCTCCACTCATTCGAACCAAGAGGATAAGAGACTGGGAAAGAGCTTGTTGGCTTCACTGATGACGTCGGAACCTTGACCCTCAAAATTTCACAGGTTATAAGATACGCTAGCAATTTTGTAGGGCTTTAAAAGATAAATATATATCGGCAGTTCAAGTTCGCATTTGGTTACCGAGCACCATATATAGTGAGTATTGTTGCAGAAGATTTTCCATACGCAAAATAGAAAACCTGCTGCATCTCACATCTTAACGAGCACCCTGTTCCACAAGAAAAAAATGACTCAAGAATGTAGTGAATAATTGACACTCAACCAATATTAAATGGTAACAAATGATAAAAACAATGATAATCTCTCTTTGTAACCATAGTAATAGTAATGATAAATACATGTGGGCTAGCGGAACAACCACACTGTTCCTCTATCGTTCTATCCTCTAGGGTCCCGTAATTATTGAACAATGCTTCTTTTAATTTTGTCTGTTAAACAAATAATTTATTTTCTTATCCTATATAGCGTAATTCCATTTTTGTCAGACTTTTGTTTCAAACAACAAGGCATTCCGCATCACGGTAAGATTTTCCACCACTCCACCCTTGCTAGCCCCAACTCTCTTCAACATCTTCTTTTCAGTTTTACTGAATCATGCTTTCAAGTCCTCTGGCAGTCTGGCACTCCAGGCGGGAGAGGAAATGCTGAAAGCTGAAGCCGATGATAGAAGAGCTAAGAGAAGAGCAGCAATGAACAAAGCAACGTGTGTTCCAGTGGCATGCGTGTTCCAGTGGCTCCGTATCTGCCGTTCTAGAATTAGGCTTTTTAGCCACGAGAGAAAGTGTTTGTCGCAATTGCGCTAGTCATGGACATGGTCCGACGACTGCCTACTACTACTACTACTACTACTACTACTACTACTACTACTACTACTACTACTACTACCCTTCAATCTTTTCATCAAGTAGGGTCACCCCGTTAAACTCAAGGTATCGTATTTCGCTCCGTGCTCACTTAGGGCCTGTTTACATGGAGGGAGGTTGCCCCGGCTAACCGGGCTACCCGGCTAGAAGGGTTGAAACATAGCCCTCCTTTACATGCAACTCACCTAACCGGGACAGTGAGTGGGCTGCGTGGGCAATCTTTTGAGCGGTCGCTAAGCAAAACAAACATAATGGCCGACAAAACAACTTTTTGGCGGCAGGTTTGATTTTTGTTTCGCTCATTCCACTAGCGCGAGTCTGTTCTCTGCCTGAGACTCATCTACTACATTGATCTCTTCAGACTGACTGTCCATTTGCCAGTGTTATCTGCCGAAAAAAATCATTTTGTTCGGTAGATAACACTGGCAAATGGTAACGACGAAAATACTGACCTCGGGCCGCCATGTTTATCGATGTTTTCGCGGTCATGATCTCTCCTCGGCTAACCGGGATCACGGCCCGACACGAACCGTTTACATGGTAAAAAGCTATCCCGCCTAGCTATCTCAGGGTGCCCCGGGTAGGCGGGCTACCCTGTCTAGCATGTAAACGCTTCAAGCGTTTTCCAAAGAAACGTATGAGGAGTTAGCCCGCCCAGGGTAGCTCGGTTAGCCGGATAGCCCGGTTAGCCGGGGCACCCTCCCTCCATGTAAACAGGCCCTAAGCCACTCTTTTGGGCATGAGTCGCTGATTGCAACGGCAAAATTCTCTCCCTCCGAAAAAATAAACTTTTTTTTCAAACTTTCCACGCTGTGCAGTCCAAACCTGTTTATATATTAGTTATTTCTGTGACCTCCCCATCCCTCCTCCTTGTGAAAAATTGTGGCTACACCTTCGACCGCACGTGACTTATACTTCATCCGCGAATTCATACAAAAACAGGTCCCATAATCCTTGTTCGCAATGAAAATAACTTCTTCTCGTATCGTAGAAAATTCTTTTAACGTCAATTTTGCTGGAATTTTGTATTTTTGTTTTTTTTACGGGAGCGGAAAAACTTGCCTATTGCTCTTATTTATATAGAGTCCTCGAAGTGGGATTGAAATAATATGCATGCAATAGTACACCCTGATTTTCGACAGAATTTTGTGTATAGAAAGGTTGATTTACCATTGAAATCGGCTTTTAAGGTTTATAATTAAAAAAAATAAACATACAAACGATTAAGACGACGCAAACATGCCTTTTAAATGCAAGCGGAAAAACGAAGGCGTGAAAGAGTGATAAGATCGCACTAATACTTCCCTGTTTGTTTACCAAAGTTCCCATGATTATTTTTGCTCGTTCCCATTTTACCTCTGATTCTTTATTCTGAGACAGGACCAAGCACGTCGACCCCGGCTGTCTAAAATAATTGATGACGTTTTCAACCAGCGGTGACCTTGTCAAGTTATTGTGATCAGGTTTCTTGTTTCGACGACAATAGTGACTGAGTCGTCTGTAAGTCATTAGTGGTCAAAGGATTTCAAAATTCGATTTTAAAAGCTACATGAAATCCTTCGGAAAACGGGCTTGAAATCATTTGACCTGACTACAAGGTAAGGTAGGCCCTTGATGTAACTTTGATTCATTTAATTTTACACCGGCATCGAGAGACAAGGAAATGAGATACATCGGTGACTTTTCAAGAACGTCACATAGCTGGAAGGCTAAAAAATCTTTCGTTCATAAGGCTCCTCACGATACATGCCATTCTCGATTAGCAGAGATGCACAAAAGCACGAAGAGATATACTCGAATTTCATCGATCAGACCGGCGATTGCCAAACGTCTAAGACATGCGGCTAACAAAAATTTCTACTTTGGTATGCAGGAGCAGGAAGAAGGTTTGGTAAACAAAAAAAAAACATGATATGCACACGTATACACATAAAGAGAGACCGATAAAGAAAACAGTGCTGAAGTGCTGTAAGTCGATGGTGTAGATGTGGATCGACTATCGTACAACACCTTATTAAGAAAAATTAAGCATAAAAATCATGCTGACCCATTTTCATAATTCGGACATGCGCTTGCCAACAGGTCAGGCAAATATTGATCGTGCATGGGGGTGGTGGGTGTATCTATTTGACGGGAATGCCGACCGGGTTTGACAGAGCCCACAATTATCGATGATGACTCCAGTTAAGCTAAACAGTTTTTAGGACTGTCATGACGAATTCGGGAAAACGTCATATGGCGTTACATGTTTTATACCTGGATTTTCGGCTTAAAATGCCAAGGCTTCCTTCATAGTAGGAATACTTTCAGTTCAGATTTGACTTAATTGCAGCATGACTGAAAGGTAGACTTTCAATTCTCATGTTTTTTTATTATTCCCTGTATTCATTCCACTCTGGAATTCAAATTCTCGTTATTAGTCAAGCACTGTTACATGCTATTTAAAGAAAACTGCTAAAGACGTGAGAAAATCATTTACATCGCTACAACAGTGTATTACACAATCAAAAACAGTGACATTTGGGGTAATTGATGCGCTTGAATGAAGAATTGCGAATTCTACGAGGTTTAATTTTATCACATGCTTTGGAAACGAAGCGACGTAGCTCAGTCACCACAGCAAGTATGCCCCTTTGATCCTCTCAAGGAGACTTAACATGAGCGAAGACGGGGATTTAAGAGGTCACTCGTGAGTTTAATTAAAGGATTAAACCTGAGAAGGCAACAGTTTTCCAAACGAATGGTACCCTGCTAACAAGTATATGAAACGTGACCATTGCATACAATTATTTCTCTTCAAAGGTCAAACCGATTAAAAATGGAATTTATCATTAATACAAAGACGCCGCCGCTCTTTTGCTAGCAAGAGGTCACGCGTGGTATAAGCTAATTACAAAAGGAAAGTAGATAGCAGCCCTTTTTTTTAATGCAGGAAAGATCCAAATAAGTATTGCTGTTGAGAACTCAAAGCTTTCTCCCCTTTCGTTTTGTTTGAGCAAATAATGAAGTATGGAAAAAAATCTTTAAATAATAGGGACCTCAAGAAACCACGACGGCGACAGCAACAAGGACGAGGAAAAACAAGAAATCTAATTGGCAGAACAATAGCTTAGCACGTGCGTTTTGAAACTTTGTACATTTCTTAGCCGTCCTATGCTAAACAACAACGTGAAATCGCCAAAATTTGCATTGTCTGCAAACCGAAACCGCGACGGCAAATTATTTTAATTTCCATTTGGAACTCAACGGCTACTTTATACTTCATGCTGAAGTTGAGCTGTGGCGCTGTATGAGACAGTAAGCTCCTGCAGCCATTTTTGAAATTCTAACTAAGAGTAGAAATTCGTTTTTTAATTGAAGTCTTCCTTGACGTCGCCGTCGTGGTTTCTTGAGGTCCCTAATATCTACAGTGATTTCCCACCGTTAGATAGTCTGCACTTCGAGACCCCAACTGCGCATCAAGAAATGGTCCTTTGTACCGGCTCAACTTTTTTAACACAATGGCCTTTATTATTAGTGGCCCTGAGGGACTTTGGCCGAAACTTAGCGAGAAGCTTATGTTCATAGGAAAAATTGTCGGCATGACAAATTGGCTGTATTAGGGGGAGTGGGGAGGTAAAACTGGCTCTCGTAACATCGAATTGCACCGCGTGCATTCCTGTGTTTCCGCATCTCCTCCAAAACAATCTGTTTGGAATTCACCGAATCATGGGTAACCACATTTGGTCAGGGACTGGATTCCTGACTTAAAAGAAGTCGAAGCATATCCCTTAAAAGTACTATGAGAAATCCATCCAGGGTTCACACTTTCTGGAACCGTTCGGAACGAAATTATACCCCAAATGTAGCATGCAGAGCAGGTGTAACATTTGGGTCAGCGAGTGCTCAGTATTTTCCTAGCGAAAAATGGCCGCCATCTTTTATTTTAATGACAGCGGAAGGCTGGGGAGAGAAAGAAATTTGTACTAAGGGAGTGATGGTCAAAAATAGGAGAGAGGCTGAGGTGAGGGAGTGAATATTTCGCCCCTTCCCGCCCCATTCTCCTACCGTCGATTCTGCCTCAATTAAACATGATTGGTTAATTAAACGTTCGGCGCTTCTTAAAGTTTACTCGCCCTAATAAGATGCCTGCACTGTAAGCAAGGCTGAAAATAACTAACGGGCAGTCACCGGTCACGTTGTCCGGTCAAACATGCTTTTGCTCGGACACTGCCCGTGTTTGGCCGGTCAAATTTTAACAGTCCGAACTCTTGCGATAGTGAACCCAGATTGCACAGTAATCCTTTTACAACTAAAAAACAACTGAATCCAAGTCGGTCTGGCAATAAAAATTACAAGTCAATAATTTTACTACTCTTTACTGCAGAAGCAGCCTCGCATTGAGTACGTGGAACGGTTACGCAAGATACAACCGCAATTGTCCGTTTTACTTTACATCTGGCAAAATCACTTATAATTAAATATTACACTCAGAGCCCTTTTTTTTAAAGTTACAGTTGTGAATTTTTGTTAGAGTAAAAGAGTGGTCGGATTCTCCAGGTTTTGGGCCTTTTGCTCGCTTTTTGCACTTTGCAACAAATGCTACTTGGAGTATTCTCGATGCAACAAGATTATTCTTCGTGAGGGTGCTTTCCGATCATTCAATCGATCAAACAATCAATCACTTTATTTAAGAGTAAATGATGGTATCTAGCCAAAGGTAAAACCCTCTACTAACTGGGAACACTTAAATAAAGTAAATAAAATAACGGAAGACACGATG